TACAAACTGACACACGTCCTGCCTCCAGCTCAGGTTGACATGCTGATTAATGGGTGCTTTGCGCTGCAACTCAAGCTGACCTGCTCTTTTCTGTCACCATGACAGCATCTTCACATGATCACCTTTGTGTCCGCTTGCCGGAGCAGGCAGGCGGTCAGTCGTATAGACAGCTAGGCAGCCTATTAGAGGTGTCTGTTCGCCGCCACTTCGCCTCTCCCCATGCGGAAGCAAACACACATCAGTGCCAGCGCACGCACGCACGCACACATACACACACACACACACACAGTCCCGACTCGTAACCCTGAGACGCACACCTGGTGCAGAGGGGGCAGACGAAATTCTCAGCACACTTGTACTCGCCACTCGTGCCAGCCATAATCACGACCGAAACAGACTGATCTCCCTAAGACTGATGTCTCTATTTTCTAAATTACCTCATCCATAACATACCGCTGTAGTTAGGGTACAACGTCTTGAGCTCTACCATTCTCTAGGCTTCACATTCCGTCAACAAAAGCTGACCTTGTCGTTGAATTCCTCCGGTTGGCATAGCGACGACTGGCCTGTAGATCAAGACCCCAACCAGACACACACGCAGACACAATTAGGCCACACAACTGGCAGCATGCAGCCGTGTATATAGACATGTCAACACCCATGCAAACACAGTCAAGGCTGCAGAATAGGGATTTGTAGATTCGCACCAAGTTGTTGTGGTGTCTGGCGTGGACAGACGAGACCAAGCCCCAGACCATGTGTGCCCCAATTAACGATTGGCCGACTGGGCCGGTGAAAGTTCACTCTGATGGGAATGAGCGCTTCCGCTCTGGCGAAATGCTGAGCAGGCTGGGGATGGGGGTGCGATAGCAATACCACTTTCTGTGATTCACAATGCCTCTTTCGCCTTTATCCTAGTCAGTCGTCCGGTAAATTTGTACATGCTTACAAGGGGCGTAGAATCAACCGGATCCGCTTACCATTCTTGGCATTCCAACAGACAGACCGACAAAATACTCTGTCGTCTGTGCACAAACGGGCTGATGGCAGAAGAAAATTTTCAAACACTTTTATGCCACCTCTGTCTGCTGGCACTGGTTAGAGGAGCAAACTTTTACAGGACACAAGCATGAAATACGTCTCCGGCAATAAGCTTTATGGAATAAATGGAGGGGTTCAAATTGCTGGAAGGGCCATCCGGTTGTGAGAATTCGGTATAGTCGGCAGTTGGACCGGCAACTGCAGGAGTGCAGAATATGGCGCCGGCTCGGCCCGACCAAGTGGAGTCGGGTCGTGTGTGCCAGTTGGATGCGTGCAGGTTGCTGAGCCGGGCTGAAGAGTTGAACGTCGAACCCCGTGGCTGGCTAGTCTACAGCTCTCGGGTCGAGGCAGTCTACGGGGCAATCTACGAGGCATTCTACGAGGAATCGCGCAACGCGAAGGTACAGCCAAGTCAGTGTAGCCCAGACGACTGGCGGATGGACCTCCGGAGGACAAGACCAGTGGAGAATGCGTGCAAAAAGAGCCGAAACCTTACCACTTTAGCCAATTAGGCCAGTTCGACCCGTTCGGCCAGTCAGGACAGCCAATCAGCAGTCGAGCTGCCTGCCTATGGCCGTGCACGACTGACTGATTGATCGATCAACCATTTTGAAAATTGCCATTTTTGAAGAGAGTCGTGAAAGTGACTTTATTCAAGCAGGTCTTATCGATCTTGAAGAAAAGTGACCAACCGAGAAAATTACAGGCTACAACGAGGTCAGCAAGACGCTGGAAACAACCATTCATGCAGACAATTATAA